CACAAGTTCAGCAGGTGAGTGAGAACAAAAAAAAGGAATCCTTTTGGATGATTGATGGAACCCTTTTGTTGTTGGATTCGGTTTTCCATATTTTTCTGCTGTCCCAATCGAAAAAATTTCCTGAATCCGATGTTTTTGGCAGGCGATACCGTTTGTCGTAAGTTGTCCAGCATGTTTGAGGAACTTTCTGAACGTTTTCTGCGAGCTTACTTGCTCTCCAGATCAGAGTCTGTTCATCAATGTCACTTCTGTTGCTAAGGTAAATATTTGGAGAAATCTCATTTTTTGTCTCTTATTTTGGAGCAAACTCGTGAGGATGCTGCGTTTTGGTTTGCAGGTCAAGATTAATTCCACTGTGGATGCCATTGAGTACTATATAACTGATGCCTTTGGGCAAGGGCTGTACCAATCTTGCAAGGATGTGAAATTCGGTAGCTCGAACAGTCGGGCTTTGGAATTTATCGGCGCAGGGGCAAAGGACTTTAAGGGTATCCAAGCTCACATTTTAGTTTGATGCGTTTAACAGACTTTGTCAGGGAAATAATCTCAGTATATTATTACCTGTTCTTGCAGAGTGGTTTGCCTTTATGGGGCAGAAAGCTGCTCCTGACGTACCGGGTTCACCTTATGCAATCAATTTTCTACCAACGCCTCTTGAATCATCTGGAATGAGGCCTATGAATGTGTCTACTTATTCGTGTGCTGACAATTCTCTTGGATGTTCTTGTGGTGATTGCCCTTCTGCCCCTGCTTGCTCCAGTACTGTTGCACCTCCTACTCAAAGAAAGCATTCCTGGTCTATGCCATAGAACAGCGGAATCTCCTTCAGTCAATTTACGCTTTGTAGGATCTCTCCAGGTAAATTCCGCCTTTTGCATAATAAACGTAGTATGCTGATGATTTGTAAGGTTAGTTTAACATGGGTTTGGCGGTTTTATCATGCAGGCAAAATGCGTTGATTTCTCTTTAGCCATTCTGTATATCGTTTTGGTTTCGCTGTTCCTTGGAGGTGGTTTGTTTCACCGTATAAGGGAGAAGAAGAAGAGCTTCAGAATGAGACCGTTGTCGACTGCAGAAGCTGGTGGAGGCCAAAGTTCTGTTAATCCGCAGAAAGCAGATACTGTCCATATGCAGGTTTCTCTACTGAATGGCTTTTGTTACATACATTCAATTCGAATTTGACCGATTTATTTGATGGTAGAGATGTTTGCTAACTCTCCTTTGTTTTCTTTCGGCCATTTCAGATGCTGCAAAATACTCCTCAACGAAACTGGGCTCAGCTGTCAACAGTTCAAGGATACATGGCCAACTTCTATGGGTTATTACCAGTTTTACAACAGTCAATTGCTTAGCGGCTGCTTCCTAGTAGGTGGCTGACATGATTGCAAAATATGTTTTTTTTTTCACCAGGAACTATGGAGTTTGGGTGGCAAGACACCCAACTCTTGTTTTGTGTTCCTCAGTTTCGGTAGTTCTTCTACTTTGCATCGGTCTGGTTCGCTTCAAAGTGGAGACGCGGCCTGACAAGGTAGCTATCTGAATATGTTCCTTTTCAACTATTATCGTCTTGGTCTAATTACATTCTAATTACATGTTACGTGTTGTGGAAATGGAACCTTATCGGATTATTGTCAATGTCCGTATAAATTGTTTTTTCCCCTTGTGTTCCAGTTATGGGTAGGTCCGGGAAGCAGAGCCTTCGAAGAAAAACAATTCTTTGACATCCATCTAGCTCCTTTCTACAGAATCGAACAGGTTGGCACATGTTATCATTTTGTCTGATTTCCTAGTGATTTTGCGCAGCGTTATTACTTATAAGATATATTTATGTAAAGTCTGTTCATATGTGTTTTAAATATTGCAATTTATCTTTTATCTGTAATGCTTTACTTCATTTTCCAAGAGGGTGGTCTCTACAGTTAAACTATCAACCAATTTCATGTTTATTGAAATGGGACCATAGACATCCCTTATCCAAATATCTAAAGTGGTCTTAATCAACCCTCAATAGATTTTTTTTTTCACTTTGCTTCATGATTGCAATAATTGTGAAATCAGGATTTTCCCTCCCTCTCCCTCCACAACCTTTTCTTTTAACCTATTGGACTCATTGTACAAAAATGCTGATTCTTGGCAATTCTGCAGCTGATATTAGCAACAGTTCCAAATTCTCCTAATGGCAAGGCGCCACCAATTTTGACAGAAGAAAATATTAAGTTGCTTTTTGACATACAAAAGAAGGTATCCGGTTTCTCATTTCGCCAATATTTATTTACAAGCATCTGGTTTACCTGTGGAAGTTAAGACTCGTTACTTTTTCATGTACCGGAAATGTGAAACACTGTTTGATATGTGGTAGGTCGATGGTCTCCGAGCCAATTACTCCGGATCAATGGTTTCTCTGACGAATATTTGCATGAAACCACTTGGAGAGGATTGCGCCACACAAAGTATTCTGCAGGTTGCTTTCTTTCTGCCTCGGTTATAATAGATGATGTACTATCTACTGAGTATTTCTATATCGGTCATAATGTTATTTGTTGAATTTTCTTGCTTTTGGAGCAGTACTTCAAAATGAAACCAGAAAATTACGACGAATTTGGAGGTGTGGATCATGTCAAATATTGCTTTGAGGTATCTATCTAGTAAAAATATGCTCTTATATTTCATCTATTTTACTTTAAGATCATGATGATTCTATAAGTTGTCCATTATTTTGGTCTATTTTCCATTTCTATTTTTTTTCTTTATTATGCCCTTTTCCCTGCTAGCTGACTATATTATTAATATGCATTTATCATTTTCCCTCAGCATTACACCTCGACGGATTCATGTTTGAGTGCATTTAAGGGCCCCCTTGATCCGAGCACTGCATTGGGAGGTTTCTCAGGCAACAATTTTGACGAGGTATTATCTTACGATTTGCTAGGTTAACCAGGTAGACGAAAAAAAATTATTTGAGTATCTAATACCCACTTATCGGCATGTTTAAGACAGGCATCTGCATTTCTTGTGACTTATCCTGTTGACAATGCCGTCGACAACGAAGGTAATAGAACTGAAAAAGCAGTGGCATGGGAGAAAGCCTTTATCCAGTTGGCCAAGGTTGGAATTTCGTAATAAAATGAAATATTTTCATATTAATACTCTCTCGTGTCTTGGTTTTCATGCCATTCTTGTCCAATAGGTCAGTTACAATATGCTTTATGTGACAGGATGAATTATTGCCGATGGCTAAATCTAAAAACTTAACATTTTCTTTCTCTTCGGAAAGCTCCATTGAGGAAGAACTGAAAAGAGAGAGTACAGCAGATATCATAACTATAGCAGTGAGTTTCCTTATTTTCAGTCTCTGTTATCTTATTTGATTAAACATCTTGTTTAAAAGACTTGACATAGATTTGTTTTGATTTAGTTTGCTGTTTTTTATGTCCTTCATTCATTTCTTTTATTTGTTTTTTTTTTTTAAATTTCAGATTAGCTATCTTGTGATGTTTGCCTATATCTCCCTTACTCTCGGTGATCCACCTCGCTTGAATTCCTTTTACATAACATCTAAGGTATGATCGTGATTTACGGTTTCTCGCGCATAGAATATAGTGTTCATGACCTTTTACTCTGTTATGATACGCAACTTCCTGTGTTTCAGGTTCTGCTTGGCCTATCTGGTGTTCTGCTTGTAATGCTCTCTGTTCTCGGTTCTGTGGGATTTTTCAGTGCTATCGGGGTGAAGTCTACTCTTATTATCATGGAAGTTATACCCTTCCTTGTTTTGGCTGTAAGTCTTATGCCCATGCTTCCAACATCCACTGCTACCTAATCTGAGAGTCAAAGTTCTTGAACGCTTCCTTAATGTTTCCATTTTTTCTGCATGAATTGTTTAATGTCAGGTTGGTGTCGATAACATGTGCATATTGGTGCATGCCGTTAAGAGGCAAGAGCAAGAGTTGCCTTTGGAAAGACGAATAAGCAATGCCCTTATGGCAGTTGGACCATCGATTACTCTTGCTAGTTTAGCTGAAATTTTAGCATTTGCGGTCGGTGCTTTTATTAGAATGCCAGCTGTTCGAGTGTTCTCCATGTTTGCCGGTCAGTAATCAGTATATGTTACATATTTATTTGAACCCCTTGACTATGTTGCTTCTGTTTTATAACATTACTTTTGCTTTTTTTGGTCGCAGCACTTGCTGTCCTTTTGGACTTTCTCCTACAGGTCACTGCTTTTGTTGCATTGATAGTTTTCGACTTCCTTCGGGCGGAGGATAAGCGTGTTGATTGTTTCCCCTGCATTAAGACATCTCAGTCTTCAGATGGTGTTGACAAACGTTAAATTACATTTCGGGTTTTGTTTTTCTGTTTAACCTTTACTCGTTGTAGAGATTTTTCTCTTGCTAAAAAGCTCAATTGATTGGTCTCGTGTCGGTCTCAGGGGTTAGTCACAGGAAAGCTGGTCTTTTGACTCGATATATGAAGGTACTTCAATTTTCATTTGCAAACACTCCAGTAAAGTGGCTACATAATTTTTACTCCTGTAGTTTCTTAATCTGTGACAAATGTATAGTAACTTTGAAGCTTCATTATCTACTTTCAGGAAGTCCATGCACCCGTTCTGAGCCATTGGGCCGTAAAAATAGTGGTTATTGCCTTCTTTATCGGCTTAGCATTGGCTGGAATCGTGAGTTGGTCCATTTTTTGACCTGTTAAAATCTGTATACTATCCATTCAGCTGTTTGAAGCTATTATCTCATATTTCCTGTGTCTGCAAAACGTGTAGGCGTTGTCCACTCGCATCGAGCCTGGGTTGGAGCAACAGATTGTCCTTCCTCAGGACTCATATCTTCAGGTTTAACTTTGAAAATCTTACTGATGCAACAGTTCATCATGTCTACGGTATCTAATGACTTTGCTTCTTTTTCGTTTAGGGGTATTTCAACAATGTTTCTGCGTATCTTAGGATAGGTCCACCTGTATACTTTGTTGTGAAGAATTATAATTACAGGTATCATATATTATTGCTTGCTCTCTCGATGGTTTCTGTTAAGAGTTGGAATGAAATAATTTTGTTCAACTTAATTCTGACACTTGCTTTTCTCCATGTCTCAGCTCAGAATCAGTACAGACTAATCAACTCTGTTCCATTAGCCAGTGCGATTCCAATTCTCTTTTAAATGAGGTATTTAGCTGCCTGTATCTGTTCTGATCTTGTTCCTATTGTGCCAGAATTGTTAGATGTATCTTTTTTAGCTTTCTTTGGACATTTTTTCTTCCATTTTAGATGTTTTGTTTTTGCTTTGTCATCCTCTCACGTGCATGTATGCCTGAAGGAGAGAAATCTGTCTCCTAATTTCATGAAACGAGTTCCAAGGAGTTTCAAGATGTTTATAATATGATAGTGAGTTGGCCAATTTAATCCTGCACTGAATCTGGAATCCATATCACTATCTACCACAATCTCTCTAAACGTGTTCCATCAAATGATTCGGAAAAATGAGGTGATTTTATTTGTCTTCCCCACAACCTCCTCCTCTCTTTGACCTGCATGCCCTCGTTCATTCCAAGTGTTTTAACCCCTTGCGAACAGCTTGATGCACTATCTCGGTTGATTTCCCTTCCTCTAGCTAGTTAGATGTTTCAGTTCGCTAAGTTTTCTTTTGGCCAATTCTCTTTCTGCTTCAAGTTTGTTGATTTATCGAATAGCCACCTGTTCTTGTAGTTTTCATTTATGAATTTCTCTGGGTGCTTGTAGATTTCAAGAGCTTCATTGACACCAGAAGTAAGCTACATAGCAAAGCCAGCTGCTTCCTGGATCGATGACTTTCTTGTGTGGATATCCCCTGAAGCATTTGGCTGTTGCAGAAAATTCACAAATGGGACCTTTTGCCCTCCTGATGATCAGGTACCCATCATAAAGTCGTCAACTTCAAAATTTATGCTGCAACTCAAGAAGATACTAATGCTGAATCCCCTTTTGATTGTGTTGCTTGTTTAGCCTCCTTGTTGCTCTCCAGATCAAACCACTTGTGGTCTGAGTGAAGTATGCAAAGATTGCACCACGGTAATCTACACACGATGATGTGATGGAATCAGTTCATTCTCGGGAAAATTTTAACTGGGTTGGGTTTTCAATTTTTTACGGTTGTCAACAGTGCTTCCGTCATGCGGATCTGAGTAATGATCGTCCCTCCACAAAGCAATTCAAGGAGAAACTTCCTTGGTTCCTCAATGCTCTTCCCTCTGCCGATTGTGCTAAAGGAGGGCGTGGTGCTTATTCTGACAGTGTTGATTTACAAGGTCTTCACTCCATCTTTGTTTTCTTTTCTTTCTCCTTCTTCCATTTGTCTGCCATTGTATGGAAACTGGAGCTCTGTAATAGCTTGTTTTCTTTCCTTATCAGGTTATGAATCAGAAATAATCCAAGCCTCATCATTCCGCACATATCACACGCCCCTCAACAAGCAGGTAATTTATTATTATAACTCTCATGTGCCTTATTCATACAAGACTCTCTTTTGTCATGGTGTTTTATATTGTGAAACGTTTATGCAGTCTGACTACGTCAATTCCATGAGAGCTGCTCGAGATTTTAGTTCAAAAGTTTCCCGTTCTTTGAAGGTAATGAGTTAAGAAAAAAAAATGAAAGCCAGAAACTTCTTTTGTATTACCATCTTTCCTTCTATATCTTCCCTCTCAAATCTCTGCTTAAATAACCTCATCATCACGGAATTCATCAACTGCCATTGAAGCTTTCTGGAAAAAAATTCTTAATGGGCCTCTCTAACTGATTAATGTGTGAATTTTATTTTCAGATGGAGATCTTTCCATATTCAGTATTTTACATGTTCTTTGAGCAATATCTTGACATATGGAAGACGGCATTGATCAACCTCTCCATAGCCATCGGTAAGTAAAAGCTACAACACCCATCTCTATGTCGCATCTTTAGTTGCTAAAAATGTCGCTCACACCAATCAAAAGGGACATGTGCTGTTCTTTTCGCCTTCTCGGGTCTTTGCCATGATTTAGTTCTGAGTGTTCTATGTGATTTTACAGGTGCCGTCTTTGTTGTCTGTTTAGTCATCACATGCAGGTAAAGCTTCTAAATTATGGACATCACTTCTTGTTTCTCTCTAAATATGTTCTTCTTCTGAACCTTTCTATTCTCTTCTCCTTTTCTTCTTCGTCGTTTAACTCAGCTTTTGGAGCTCGGCAATTATTTTGCTGGTCATCGCTATGATCATCATTGATCTACTGGTAGTTAATTCATCGTCTATTTTTCATGAAAAACATGTAGCTTCTGTCATAGATTTGGTTGCTAATGCAGTTTTATATATGTGAATATGATGTGAAACGCAACAGGGGGTAATGGCGGTCTTGCATATACAATTGAATGCACTCTCGGTTGTCAACCTTGTCATGTCGGTTGGCATAGCTGTCGAGTTCTGTGTTCACATAACTCACGCATTCTCGGTCAGTGCCACCATCCCTTTGTCAATTTTACAACGTGGATGAATTTTTAGCTGAAAATGACATATTTTCTGTGATGAACAGGTAAGCTCGGGGGACAAAAACCAGCGTATGAAAGAGGCACTCGCTACCATGGGAGCTTCGGTTTTCAGGTACAGTTTCACGAATGGCCATAGCCTTCTCGATGCTGAAGAAAAGTTTTAATAAGATTCCCCCGAGGCTAATAAGGGAGAGGCTCTCTCTCTTTTGATGTATTTTGTGAACAGCGGAATCACGCTAACAAAGTTAGTTGGAGTGATTGTGCTCGGTTTCGCAAGATCAGAGGTCTTTGTGGTATGCGTTTGTTTTTTTCCTGTGAAACGTTAACCGATCCCAGATATTTCTTTCGCATCATTGTCGGAAATACATCACCTTTTCACTGAATCTGATTCGTTCCGGAACTGTTTTGTCTTGCAGGTTTACTACTTCAAGATGTATCTTGCATTAGTCCTCCTTGGCTTCTTGCACGGCCTTGTCTTTTTACCTGTAAGTCTTCCCAACATCCTTCGTGTGTTTGTGTCTCTCTTGTTTCTAATATCTTTCTTGAAATGATTAATGCCCCAAATTTTCTAGTGTAAGCCAAATAACACCCTACAGAATAAAAAAGATTTTTTTTGGAAACTAACACATTTTTTAATCATAAAACTAAATAATTTAAAATATATTTTCCAAATTGCAAAAATATGATTTTAACAAATTTTACAACAGTTGCTAATTTTAATTTATTTTTGTGCATCTTAACAAAATACGCTATTTTTTAAAAATTTGCAGCTCCGCCCTCGGTTTCAAAAATTTAACTTCGTATTGTTAATTATTTTTTTTATAATCACATATCGTTTAGTTTTAAACCATAGGAATCATGGTAATGAAGATTAAAACGTTATCATAAAAATCGTCAGAGCCTAATACATCAATCGAGAAACATCTGAGTGAGATTACTTTGACAAATTGTGTTTCAAAAAATGATTTTTTTTATGTCTAATGTGTCGATCATGTTTCAGAAATACTAAAATGTTTTTTTGAGGAGATTATTTAGCTAATACATCAGTAATTTCATGGTTCTTGTGTTAAAAGAAATTTTCTTCAAATGCATTGATGTCAGGTGTTCTTGAGCATGTTCGGTCCAGCTCCAAGACATGTGGAAGTAGAAAGACAAGATCACCGGCCCTCAGTTTCATCTTTGCCTTAGAACTTCTTCTTCTAGATTTGCTTCTTCGTTTTTTTCTTTTCCTTTATTCTTTTTACTTTTTCCGCTTGTAGTCTGTTGTTTTTATTTACCATCAATATGTAAATGCTAAAAGATATTTCACCCAAAGGGAAAAAAGTTAGTTGCATAGGAAATCTCATGAAATGTTTTCGGGGTTTGGTGCTGTGTTTTAATTATTACTTTCTGGGTTTATTTTCTCTCAACATATATGCTAGTATATATTTATGTGCTAGTATATAAGTAAAATATCTGGGTTTTAATCACCGAGACTATGACGATCGGATTTGGTACAAGCGCACCAAATCAGATGGACTGGTATCTTGTAGTAGTTGACATTTGATTCGGTTATTTTGGTTATTAAATCGAATCAAATTATCAATTGATTATAAATTTTTAAAACCCAATATAATCGAATCAAATCACTTATACATTCTCATTTATATATATTTGTGTATATATATATTTCTAATTTAATAATTGTTTATTATTTTCACTTGTTTCGTCATTGTTTTATTATTTTAAAGATTTATATGTTATAGACTTTGAAGAGGAGAATATTTACTTGCGAAGTCATTTTATTTGTTAATTTCATGTTAAAACAAATTATAACATGAATTTAGATTTTGTTGTTTTATATGATAATATGATCATGATGATATTTTATATTATATGTTATTTGAATATTCTTCTCTCACGCTCTTTAAACTATTATAGTCAATATGATATCATGATCCAAATATTCTCTCGCAAATTTGATATATCACTTTCTAAAATTAGGGGAAACACAATCCTTCTCTTCTAAGGTATATAGGAATACCACCTTTGGTAAAAAAACAAAAAAAAGTATATAAGATTTATAAAAAAAAAAAATCGTATATAAATATCTAAACTTTTATAAAAATTTCAAATAAATACCTAAACTATAAAATTTTCATATAAATACTTGAACTTTTTAAAAATCTTATATAAATACCTAAACTTTTGATTTATTAGCAAATAAACCATCTATTGTTGACGACGTTTAATAGTATAACGGAATCAAATAAAAACGTGATGACTCAGTATTTAAAAATTCTAATAAACATCCATGTCATAAGCCATATTGTACAAATCGGTTTAATTGAATAACAATTTAATAACCGGATCGTTTTGATTAAAAAATTTAGAAAAAAACCCTAAAATCTCCATTCTTCTTCTTTGTTTGCTTCTCCGTCAGAAGATAAGGAAGGGTAACGACTACAATACTTTTATTTTTTTTTGTTAAAAGGTGCATGTATTTATATATATATGAAGTAAGGAATACAAGAGTTTGGTCACTCTACAAAAGTTAGAAACGTAATAACCTTGAAGGCTTACAAAATTAATCTATCCTCTGACGAAGAAAAACATGTGTAGTAAAGCAAGAGATCTAATTAAGCAACTGACTATTCAGTGAAGCGCTTGATCAAGGGGAGGAGAACCATATTTGTAGTAAACAACTTGCCATTAGATTGTTTGAATGTCTAATGGTCGCCATCTTATTGCGGAAACAATTATCGATGTCTCGGCGAATAATCGAGGGGTCCTTGTAGTGTCCCATATCCAGCCACGCATTTCGCTCCATCCAGATGATGTAAACCACAATTTTCCATATTAGTTGTCCACCTAGTAATATGTTTTTGCAACCCCATCTCCCTAGCAATCAGTCTATAGTTCCCATCCAAGTAGTTTGCGCAGGAGAAGAACCCCATTTCGTCATAGTCCATGTGAACAGATCTCTAATAACATGACATTCGAAAAAGAGTTGATTCATGTTTGTAGGGCTCCAACCACAAAACAGAATTCTCAAGTCCACTTGAATCCCCTGTTGTTTATTTTAGAGTAAATTGATGGATTTAATAAATCTCTCATGTGATTCATATTCATATGTATTACGGATATGGTGGAGGAGTTATATATTCGTAAATGATATAGTATGAATTGGTAAAGTATTTACATGTATTTTGTAAAGTATATACTTGTGTTTAGTAGTGAAATTTAATTGCAGAAATTCTGCACGGGCATGTAACACGGCCGTGTTAATTACAAACACGGCCGTGTTAGGTTCAACACGGGCCGTGTTAATTCTCTGAGAAAATGTTGTTTTTCTCAGACATTTGACACGGACCGTGTTTAGGTTCAACACGGGCCGTGTTAATTCTCTGAGAAAATGTTGTTTTTCTCAGACATTTGACACGGACCGTGTTAAGGTGCAACACGGACCGTGTTAGGTGCAACACGGCCGTGTCAGATTCGACACGGGCCGTGTTAAATGTCTGTAATATGAACAAATGCGGCCTTTCGCATGAAAACTACTAAATGGATACAACTTTTGATCATGTCTCTGGTGTTTTTAAAAGCCAAAAACGTCAGAGAATGTGGATATACGAAATCTAATTGATCTTGAGAGATTTGTGAGCCTTTTTGGTGAAGAAACTTGCTACTTCTTCTCCATCTTTTACTGTTCATCTTCTTTCTCGGATTTTTCTGTTTTGGGCAACGTTTGAGGAGCAAATCA